GTGCTGATTTGGGAATAAAGCGAGACAATAGTTGTTTTCGAATGTTAGCTGCTTCGACTTCAGTAATAATTAATGATCAAATGATAATGTGAGGTGCAGCTACCAGTCGGAAACGTTGAAGATCTGACAGAAGAGTGCTGCAAAAATAAAAAAAATTCGTTGTCGGGAGAATTATTACATAGCTGGTTAGAATTAAGAGTACGACTGGGACAGTATGTTTGATCGAGGCGCTGTCGGGTTTAGGGATACCGACTGCAGCCGGCGGGGGGCCAGCGGGTGCAGGGGCTGGCCATCCCGTGGCGGCTCATCACCACGGCCAGCTGGACGAGCGACTGGCTCTAGCTGCTGACCCGATGGTCCGGTTGCAGATGGCTGGCATTTCGCCCGAGTATCATGCTCACACTCACGCGCATACGCATGCGCATACGCACTTACACTTACATCCGGGACAGCAGCAGGCCCAGCAACAGGCTCAGCAACAGCAGGAAGCGGCTGCGGCTGCAGCTGGATTCCCCCTGCCTGGTAGGTCCTACAAATCAGGATGTTTGAGTACGCTCCCGCACGATGATCGCTCCTTTCACCGATTATCTGTATTTCTTAGGACCAACAAAGATAATTTTACAAGCGTATTACAATCATGTAATAAAGAGTGTAGATATTAGATATTTTTGATGCTCTTTAGTATCCCAATGAAATCTGATAAAATTTCTTTTTATAATTTAAAGGTATTTAAATGACTGTTCTATAATTGTAACTTAATTTTATATTGGGAATTTCTTAGTTACTTTTAACGCGCAATTCTTATAAGTATAAATTGTAAATTGTAAAAACATACATTTTAAAAAAAAAAAAAACTAGATCATAAAGATAGATTAGTTTTATTAAATGTATTGCTTTTTTTTATAAGCTTGTAAGGTTGCATTATAGATTTACTCTTAGCAAAATAAACGAGTCCGTGATCGGTAAAGCGGTTGATTGCGTGTAAGCGTACTGTAATGTGCTTTTCACTTAATCAATTTAATATCAGTCACTCTAACTTAAATGGAAAGCATCTTAACTACCACCAACAGCTTATCTTTTTTATAAAGAAAAAGAATTAAACAAAGTTTTCTCTGCGGCAAAAATTTTTTTTGCATTGTTCTGTCGCTTTTCTCGCTATGCCATATTATTAACTTGGCACCAGAGCTTTTCGATCATCGAGCGCAGCTTCTGGGTGAAGGTACGATTCATCAATAAAGATTCTATGAGTTTCTAATAGTGTGAATTACTTTTAAGTAAACTGCAATGACTGTATGCGTGATACGTGCGTGAATGGGAATGACACAATGTGTCTGTACTGCACAAATACTTTCATATGATATTATCTATTTGACGATTCCCTTAAAAATTGCACATTACCAGCATAATTTATCGACATTACAACAATATAATGTTTATATATTTTTGTTTTACCATCGTCTTGTAACATATCATTAATGTTATTATATAAGTCTGACCAAAACCAATTTAAGGTTCGGAAAACCAATTTGTAGTAATCCTTGAAGTATACGAGATACCATTTTGATTCATAATTTTAACTTTCGAATCTTACAACTTTGTTCTAAATTTTAATGCCATCGTAACTTAGCAATTAATTTTAAATTTACCAGTTAATTTCCTTCTTTTTGGTATTTTCATCTGTATTGTAGTATTTTTCTGTATTCACATATAATAATGGTATCTCTATGTAATACCGCAAGGATTAAATGCGAGATCATGAAGTAAGGGGATATTTGTAATTGTTTATCTTGGTCTGGAGTATACAGTTAATTTTGGGCAGACAATACAGAGAAAAAAAGGATATTTTTGTAGTGCAACGGCATACGAAAGCAAATATCGTCCAACAAATCTCACGCTTCATCATGCATGTCTGTCTATCCATAAGTTTCTCAAGGCTTTATTTATCTTATGAAGGCAATGTGATCGTCTTTTACAATTTACTAATGTTTTCTATGTATACAGCGGCAGCTGGTGCAAATTATCCTCGACCAGGCTTAATGCCCCGTGACCCAGCACTGGCTCTTCATCCCGCGGAACTTCTCGGAAGACCGTACGCGGATATGGCGGCGCATCACGAGCAATTACAACGTCATCTCATGATGGAACGCGATCGATTTCCTCCTCATGCATCGCTCGTTGCACATCACGAGGAATATTTAAGGTTTGTCCTTTGAAATTCATAACAAAGCTTACAATATGTATGCTTGATTTAGACGGCGAGTGTATCGGACTAACAAAGGGTGTTTTTTAGACAACAGCGCGAACGTGAGCTTAAAGTTCGTGCACTGGAAGAAGCTGCACGTGGATCACGCCCTTAAGTGTAATTGTATTTATATATTCTAATGATTATCCTTCATAATTAGGGCTGCGACAGTTCTCGTTATAAATAATTAATGAGTACTTGTCACGTGGTGTTCCCAACGAAATAACATGCTTTTTAAAAAAGAGATAAGGAAACAAAGGGTGCAAGAATAAGATAAAAAAGAGAAGAAAGATCTGCTCAAGATCGAGAACCTTACGTTTAGGATCAAAAATTATTTTTACGGTTTCCCTTTATAGTTAAGTAATTAACAAGAATAAAAACGTAAGGATTGTTACAATATGTAACTTTTTAGTGTAAATATGACACGATTTAAGGTATAGTGCTAGATTGATCTAGCACCATAGAGGATTGAAGGATTGAAGTATACATATATATATATATACACATACATATATATATAGCGACCGCTTGACGTGTAAATTTGTTTGAAATCTCTATATATATTATATATATTATCAAATCCACGATATTACCATGCTCAAACGAAATTCATTTCTGTTTGATTTCATTTTTCACAGCGGTGATAATGCCAAAGTGTTCAGAAGAGAAGTGGTTCACCGTGTTTATTTTTTATTTACGGTTTTTTTTTTCTTTTTTTAAAAATATATATATATATATTAAGCCCTTGTGTGCTTACGTGCAGGAAAGTATTGTTTGTTTTATACATTCGATTATATACCGATGAGCACGAATCGTGTCTTCGAGACGAATAATAATTTTATAATCTGTAGAGTAGTTTCCCATGTTTAACTGTCTGTGCTTCGTGAATGATTCATGAACAATTCTTACAGACTTTCCGTGTTTTAGCGTATTATAAGGTGTAACTTAAGTTTTAAATAATTATTGTAATTTCTGTGTCAGACAATTTGTATATTTTCTATATGTATCCTTTTAAGATTTTACTCTGGAGACCACGAGCGTTTGATACTAGTTGGATCGAGCGGCTGATTAGTAATTAAAAATAAAACACAAAAAAAATGATAAAAAATAAACTTTGTAACGAAGTGACCAAAGTTTAAAAAAGTTTATAGAAAAACGACGTGAGCGAACGCATTATCTTCCATGGTCGCGCGCTTCACAGAGTTCACAGAAATATCCTGTATAGTGCAGGCACTGGAAATTAGTGCGTGAACGTTCTTCAATGAAAAGCAGAAACAAATACTAAAAAAATGATCCTTTATTCTGACGACCATTCGAATATGTAAATTTTCTGCTATATAATTAATTCAATGTAATCTAGTTATTTAACTAAGTAAAATATTTCATAGGAGCGTCCAGTTTTATCGTATCATTTTCTTTAATTTCTTGACAATTGTTTGAACTGATTTTTAAGATGCAAAATATGGATCAGATGTTAAATGAGCAATGTATTATGTTCATGTCTGCTTGCACTTACGAGACTGTAATATATTTTTCTTATATTATATAGGTATCTGTGAGAGAATTATACATTTGCGTTAGTGTAACGTAATCTCACGCAGACGTTTCTTTTTTTTTTTTTTTTTTTTTTTTTTTTTTTTTTTTTTTTTTTTTTTTTTTTTTTTCTTCATCAATCTGTTACCAGAGAAATAGGGAAAAAATATGTGAAATGAAAATTTTATGTAATAAGAAAATTGAATCATTGTATAATTTCTTATTACCAGTTTGCCTGTCACTGGATTCCTTGGACAGAAATAAATGCCTGTCTTATAAAAATCTACTTTTTAGTGTCACAGCAATTCATATTCAACTCTGTAACATTAAACAAATTTTTAAAAATAGTTGCGAATTAGATAGAAGCTAGCATCGGACTAGCCTAATTAGTTTTACACATGGTATTTGTTTTCCTTGCTCTTTCTACCGGTTGTCGGTTGGTTTTTATTGACCGTAATGTGAAACCCAGCCTCCGACCACTTTACGTGGGAGTCATCACATCTATATACGCATCTATGTTTGCATTTGTAAGAGGAAACAAATGTCACGTTGACCATTCAGAAACTATTTCCTAAGTTACAAAAGCGTATAGTTTCTTATGAATACTTAAAAGAATTGCCAAATATGTCATGACAATTTTAAATTTTGATATGAAGGTAATGATTGCAAAATCATTATCAATATTTAATAGTTTTTCAGAAAAGACTGCTTCTTAAATTTTCATATATTAATAAATAATTTTATTAATTAATTATATTATTAATTTGTTACTAATTTATGTATTTTTGGCCAACTAAGTAACTTTGATTTTGTAATTTAATTCTGTTATATAGATTTTTTCATAATTTTTACAAAAGAATCTAGGTAATTACAATTTCTCTAAAAAATAAGTTAAAATCATATTTCATTGTAATATATTTACTTATTGTTATTTATTTAGTTTTATTTTGCTGTATATTTTTACAAATTGTTATTAACGCATTTTGTTTTTACTAGCGAAGCATCATGCAAGTGGTTCGTTCGCCCCTAATCGGATGCACGTGTCTTTCACATGTGTATTCGTGTAACGGGAAGGGGTAGGGTGGGGGTTAATGGCAACACATCGGGAAGAGGGAATCCTGGAGGAAACGAAGGAAACCGTGGCAGCTTAGTCACTCATAAATGAACCGTTGGTGTGGTCTGACGTCTCTTTCAAGTTAGTGTAGTTGTTAACGATTCACTGATAGCGGCGCAATGCAGCATGGCTGCACGAAAGAGAGAGGAATCATCAAAACAACGTTATCAAGCGAACGCACGTGAGAGGGACCGTACTCATAGGTGAAAATAATTTTTTTTTTTTATGCAATATTGGCTATTTATTCTTAATAAATAAAGTAATTAAAACAATATTTAAATCATGTATTTGTGTTTATGTATATGCTGTAAAAATACATAAGAAGAAGCTTAAAAATCGAATTACAGGGAATGGGATATTATATTGTTCAAAGTAATTAGAGGAATATTTATTTTAATAACTTAGTCCAATAAATTAACTATTACTGTTTTAATCTGTGATAGTAAAGTGGAAGCCTCTAAATACTTTGAGCAGTCTATAAACGAGATATTCCTCTTTTGGCTCAGGAGAACATACAGTAGCGCAAAATACGCGAATACTCTTAATGAGGGTAAGGAACCCAAACGCAAAATTCAAGAAATCCAATCTTCGCTGTGCAGTGTGAACACGGCTTTCAGTGCCTTGAGAACTTTAATACCAACGGAACCCGCGGATAGGAAATTATCAAAAATAGAGACATTAAGATTAGCAAGCAGTTACATCAACCACTTGGGTGCTGTTCTTGTCGCTGGTCCTATAGATCAACCCTGTTTACGTGTTGAAGACAACAGTGGTGTTTATGGAACAAATCATTGGACTGATTCGCAAACAAGGCCACAAGTCTGCACTTTTTGTCTTGCCATGCACAAAAAATATGTAAGTTAGTGTTAACTCTTGTGATACGAGTAATGTTAATTATTTAAAATATTTATCAAGTTTATTTATAAAATATTATAATTTTAAATTTATTTCTGTATAGATTATTTAATTTTATAAAGAGAAAAAATTATTGCTCACATTTAAGAAGTAGTTTATTTGGAAAACTACAGTTTTTCAGGGAAAAGATTTTATAATAATAAGCGTTAATTTTTCATTTTCAGAACTTAAATATCGCTTCAGAGGTAATTTCAAATTATTAAAGAAGTATGTTGTTTCTACAAATTCGATATCTATTTTTTATTAAATTATATTATATTAAATTATATTAAAATAAATTATATTAAATGCAAAATAACACGGTATTTATAAATTAAATAAATAATGTTTGTAGTTTGTACTTGTATTTAGTGCGATAAAGATGAATTCTTTAGCCTATATATTCGAACTTCATTTGTTATTATTCCCATAACATTCGAACATCGAATGCTCGTCCGTATAATTATCAGCACAACTGAACTCACAACAACATTATATTTAATGAAACATATGATTTAAAAAAGGTAATTAGTTACCTTAAAACGACAATTCATTGTATAAATTATTAAATGAATTTATAAATGTAATAAATGTATGAAATATAAATTTATTACAATATTAATAAAATTATATACGCCATAATGACGAGAGTAGTTCGGCGGCGAATGTTTCAGTCTTTCGAAGTCAACAATGCTGTGAAGAAGCACATTTTTGTTTTTCTCTCCGTTCTCGTTTCTCGTTCCAATTTCAGTGTTTTTATTCGGTTATTCATTGGGGTGTAGTCCATAGATAATCATGTTTGTTACTGAAAGGCAATTCTTTGAATGTTTTCGTATCAAAAATTAGGTAAGTTTCGTGAATAAAGAAAACTATTAAACGCAAACCATACTCACCGCGATCAATCACCGCCATTACGGTAAAATTGAATTCATCTAGAATGTAAATAATTTGAAAAATAGAGATTTTAAAAGTGAAACATCAATATTCACATATCTATCATTTACCATTAATAATTCTATTATGTGACTATATATATTGATAGTTATACGTTACTAAAGCTGCGGTGTTAAAAATAAATTTTCTAAATATAACTATAATTTTTGCCAAACAAGAGTAATCATAATTTGAAAATTAAAACATATTGTACCATTTTAGATGTATGTGTGACACAAGTGTGATAAATATTATACTCTACATTTTGTATTATGCTGTAAGAAATTTTAAAGATCTATTTCTCTCTTTCGAAACGTCCACGAGTACCTATCGACGAGGCTGAAGGCCTGAACGTGAATCTGACGAATCGGAAATTTGAAATCAGGAAAATTAGCGCCCAGAACGGCGCGTACGACCGCCATCTTGTAAAAGTGTCTGTAGTGTTTGGAGGTTTAGCGAGAAAGAACATCAGCTTCGCCGGAGGCTGGAAGTCCTTTTGAAGTGGTTGCAACGGTCCTTGGCAGTCCCTGGGCACCCATGTGACCTCGTGCGAGGCCAGGGTACCTTCAAGCTGCTAGGACAACCTTACGGCCGAGAAACTCATTTACACGCCCGACTCTCACGAAGATGGTGAGCATTCTTCGCGAAGATTTCCATCCAACCCTTTGACAAATTCATTTTTCCAGTCGCGTGTACGTCGTCTTTGATGAATGTGACATTACAATTGCATAAGTCAGCAATCAACAAAATCTTTGTCTTTGCAAGATATTTTTAATTATTTCATTGTTATCAATACTTCAAATCTTGCTTATTTGACGAACAATTTTCTCACTTGTCAATATTTTTAGGTAGCATTAGACTTAAGGTGGTCATTTCGACGACGTTGAAGTATATCGTCGACACACTTTTCATGATCATTTTTCATACTTTCGTATGTGAACAATGTAGCATAACCTACGTTCATTTACTATCGCATAAAAAACGAATTGATCATAATATGCAGGTAGAAGAATGAATTGTTTTTGTTTGGATGCAAGCTTTCCAATTACTGACAGTTTGATGGGGTTCGTATCGATATTTAGGTATTATGTATACGTAACACAAAAATCGTGAGTTTCTTGGTTACTTCGATATTATATATTTTTCCTTAACAAATAGCACATACATGGAAAATTGACTATTTATCTTTCTTCTCATTGTCATTTCATGAACTGATTAAGAAAGTAAATAGATTGTATAGTCACCAAATTTTCATTTATTGTTACAATTTTTATCTTTGTAATATTTAATTTCTAACTTAGAATATTAATGAAGTTACAAAATTTTGTGATATGTAAATATTTGACATAAAATTTATTTGTATTACAATTATACTCATATTAAGTTATTCTGTATTTATATCATTACTTTTTTTTATCATATCTTTACATTATAAATATTAGCTGAGTTATTTTAATATTAGTCATGTTATTTAGAGTACGGCATCAACGGGTGGAACTGAGGGGTCTAGCCCAGCCTCTAGCCCTGCCTCAGCAACAAGTGTCACCATGGCTGCACCAAAATATGGTACTTTGGTTCCAAATCGCATCTTTGTAGGCGGCATTTCAGCTAATACCAGTGTAGAAGAACTTGCTCAAGTGTTTTCCACTTATGGCAATGTAAAAGCTACAAAAATAATTGCTGACCGTGCTGGTGTCTCTAAAGGTTATGGCTTTGTTACATTTGAAACCGAAGAAGAAGCTAAAAGACTTCAGCAAGAGGTTTGTAATATATACTTTTAATATATTTCACAATTAATATAAAAATTGTAATAATTAGATGAAATTATTTGTTTATAGTCTGAATGCATTGTATTAAGGGAAAGAAAATTAAATATAGCACCTGCAATTAAAAAACAACCTTTCAATAGATCTTTGGATGGTGGTTCTGGATCACCACCGTCTGTGCCTACTAGTACTTACTATTATCCAAATGGTCAGTACAATTATATTTTATAATTTTATAAATTTAAGTCATTGTTGTAGTTGTATAGATTTTTATTACATAAAAAAATGTCATTTGGCACAATGTCATTTTCCTTCTCAGGTATGGGGTTGACATATCAAAATGGTATGGCATTTTACAATACAACTGCTCCAACACCAACAACACCAATTGCTCCACCAACTGATCCAGCAACTATTTATCAAGCTACTGGAGTATTCGGTAAATTGTAGCAAAAGTCATAGTTTAATTCGTATAAAATCAAAATGTCTCTTAATCAGATGATCATAATAATTAGGGCCACAAGCTGCTGGTCATCAAACTTTTGCACCTGTGATGTATCCATGCCCTGCTCCATCTCTCTATATGCCACAACAATATCAGTTTTCACCTATGCCGGTATGTAACATAACAGATTAAAAAAACTATGCAGAATTCTTTCTTTGATACTCCTTTTTAATCTTGGGTTCCTTGTTCACATTCTATCATATGAATTGTCTATGGGTATAGCTTTTATTTATATTAAACGGTAAATCGGTTGCGGTTTGACAGACAAATGGTTTGATGGGAGAAGCCATACCACCGGCGTTTCTACCCAACCCTCAGCAAATGCCTACTTACGTCCTTCTCGACGCTATACAGTATTGAGGTCTAAAGGTACATGGTCTATGCTAAATGACTAGCATGCAGCGCATTATTTTTGAGCGTTTTCTTTGTCAGACTTCTGCATGGCCTATCAATGCATGCACCACTTCTCTTTTCTTTCACAATTTTTGATTTTTATTAATAATTTTTATATGTATGTTACACGTATATTATTTTTTTTTTATACAAAATGTATCGTTATGTTCACATTATTCACTTTTTCAAGCGTGCATTTATGTATCTTTCGACTTCTTTCATATTGTTATCCTATATATAATATCTTTATATTGTTCAGCGAATATAGAATGAAATATGTATAATATGCCTAATATATAGTAATGATCTAGAAAAAAAAAGAAAAAAAAATAGTTTACAATATATGAAATATATAATTTATATCATAGGTATATATGAAAAGATCAAGGTAATGTATCTAATATTTGAGCATCATCAAAATCTCGCTCAACAGCAAACCGTTGTAAATAATAGATTTTTATTTATATTATATATACATTGACCTTAATATACCAAAACGAGATCATATACATGCGATTGATATACATTTTTTCTGTTTAAAAAATAAATAGTCTCTATATATCTGCATATAAATTGTGATAACGATTAATTAATCGATGATATCTTTCTTTCTGTGCAGTATGAGACGTGTTATGCAGGGGCAGTCGCCGCCGGAGCTTCTCAATACATGTTTACTGCGAATAATTCGCAGAACAATACGAGCGGTGCCAACAATAATTCTGGAAGTGGTAACAATGGCACGGGGGCGACTAGCCCACCTACAGGTCCTCCACCACCTCTACCATGTTTACCCCCTCCGCCACCGACAAATTATTATCCTTCTACCGCTCCACCACCGCATCATCATCCACCGGTGCCTGCAGGTCCTGCGCCTCCACAAATGGATCATATTTACTACCCTTTCGCAGCCGGGCCACATCCACCTCCTCCTCCACATGCATCTATGGGATTGACAGATCAACAGCTATTAATTTATCCTACTGATGCCCCATGCCAAACATCTTCATCTGATAGTCAAGCTGCTCCTCAGGAGGTAAGTTGCTTTTATTTTCTCAGATACATATAGTAGTCCTTCATATAAAGTAATAAAAAATAATCAATAATATAATACATTAGATAATTTTAGTATTATCAATTAAGAGATTAAGTGCAATTTTTACTATATGATGTATAACGTTATAAGTAGGCCTACTGTATTTATTATAATTTTGGTATATTATAAGTTTATGTGAGGTAGATCAGTAGTTACAAGTAGATTTTATTCGATTGTTTAAACAATATTGAATAATTTTTACTCAAAAATTGTTTTATATCCAAGAAAAAAATATACATATTTGTGATTATTGATCTACCTTTTATACGCGTGATTATTATTTAAATTATTAAAGATATAACAAAACGTTGCTTTGAGACAGATAAATATTGGGGTAATTTAACTATTCCATGTTCATATAAACGCAACATCATTCAGGTAGAATGAATACACGTATTCATGTTCATTTCAAACGGTGAAATATTCATTAATTAAGAAAGAAACAACATGCACGGAAAACTACCATCTATGAAATAAATCGTAGGATTCTCGTTCGACATCGAGCCACTCGGAGCAAGCACATGGTGAAACACAGGCTGCTTCAGGGTCAACCACACCCTTGGTGTCCTTAATGCCCGTGAAATTTCCCATGTCCGGTCGTTACACCAACTATCATCCGATCGCGATACACACCACTAACTTATACAGTTCTCAGACATGTTTGAACGAAACTGACGACTGTGGTGGTAATCAGATGCATTGTAGGGCGATCGTTTATCATCCGGCAACCGTTTACATTCCTCACACGCATACACCTCCATTTCATAACGCTTCTGGTGGTGCTAGCCTGTTGCCTACACCGCCATCTGTATCTCAGCAGATATTTGATTCAACCAACAAAAATCAGTGTTTTAATTCCAGAGATTACACGAAATCCGGCAGCGTGAATGCCCAAAATAATTATTCGAAATCACAGACTCATGGAATTGCATTGTCGCATCAGAATTCGTTCCTTCGAGCTCAAAACTTAGGCAATTCTCAGCCGTACAAGCATAGTAACATAGACGGAGGGTACAAGTACACAACACCAACGATGAGCTCGCGATTTTCCGTACCGTGTAACAAAAAAGCAGCTGTTTCAATCGTGGGCTCTCCGGCTTGCTTTGTAGCACAAAAATCCTCGGATAATTATAATTCGACCCAAAAGTCGTTCGGATCAAACCCTACTAATCAATCGTACAATTATACGAATTCACAAAAAATATTTAATCCGGTAGCGAATTTCGAACACGCGAACGGCCGTAAGACTAACACCGGTGGGGATCAGTATTTTGAAAGCGTGACAAAATCGAATAATTATTCTACTCGTAAAAACACGATGAATTATAGAAACAATGGAGTCATTGGCGGACAGACCGAGGAAAGTACTCATTCTAATAGTCAATCAAATGATAAATACGCGACTAATATCGAAAACGAGAACAGTAATTCGCAGGGTGTACAAGGGTCGGAGAATAGTAATTCAGAGAAGCCGGTGAGCCCACCACCAGCGCCGTATTCGCCCATGACAAGACCACTTCCAACTTTGTCACCACCCACCTCCCAGGTCCAATTCTTCGCTCCGGCGCAAAACCGCTATCAGCCATCCTTAGCTCCGACCCAGCATCACCAACAGCAGCAACAATCGAATGCTCAACGCAGATACACCATCGCTCCTGCGTTGTCCGCAAGTAGAAAACCAACGGAGAAGTATTCAAATTCCGGTTCCCAGGCGACTACTACGACGATGTTACAACAAAGCAAGTACAAGGTGAATGGAATCATACAGACGGGTAACAAAGTAACTGATGATAGTCTTGGAGGAGCCGGGGACGCACCACCAGGTGTTGGAAGAATGCCAATAACTCCACCGGGAACGCCGAGAACTCATCCAGGTCATCCTGCTGGTGATCAGAGTCAGCTCAGCGACACGTGCCATCAGATGCAAGCTCTGAGTCTTTGAACTCGTTCTCTCGATACATAGAGATGTATGCGTACAGGCTCGATTCGTTTTTTCCTCCCCTTCTTCTTCTTTCGGTCCTAATCGTACGTTTAATAACAGATCGTACGTTTATAGGTTAGAGATAGGTAGATAGAAATACATAGATAGATAGATAGGTAGATAGATGCATCTCGATATCGAAGCCGTATGGAAAGAAAATAAAACAGAAAGAAGAGCGTGTCGATTCACGGACGATCCTTATATTTTGAAAATTGCATAGAAGCATGAGCGCGAACAAACACGATTTGAAACACGTTTGCTCTATTCTCTTGTGATCTCAATCCCAAATCTAAATGAAAAAAAAGAAAGGAAAAAGAAAAAGAAACAAAGAAAAGAACGAGCAAAATATGTAGACTATACGAATTCCATATGTAAATGTAAATTAATGCTCTTCGGTAAATTATTAAACGTACTAAATTGTTAAGCATTTATAAAAGAATATATTAT